AAAAGATCAGAGTGTCCCTGTATAGATTTGGGAGCGACTCAAGCAGAATCAATAGTTGTCGAGATTATACCTCTGCAATCCCAATTGTGATTCTTGTAACGGAGTGTTTCACTAACCCCCACTCAACTTTAATAGTTGGCTCGCTCGAATCTTAGTTCGCGAAATTTGGCATAAATAACATTTTTACTCATGATAGTTGTATGTATTCTCGATAGAGTTAGATAATATTTTCTGGTAAAAAAAAAAAGTGAGATAATATTTTAATTGGATGGAAGGATTTAATTTTTTTTCTTTTTCTTTTTATATCAAATCCTTATTTTCTCTCCCTCAATGTTCAATCACTGTATTTAGTTATATTTAAAATTGAATTTGTATTTTTGTAAATYGGCTAAGTCGTCTCACTTGAGAATTTCGGAGTCGGGCTTCGTCGCCTTTGCACCCGCAACCACTTTGGTAAAGTGACAATTGCCCCATGAAGACTCGCTTTCACTATGGCTCCCGGCGATGATAGGTGGATCTGGTAATTGGTCTGTTCCGATTCTGATAGGTGCACGATGACGATCTATATGGAAGGACAGTTTTGTTGATGCATTCTTGTTGAGAAAGTTTTTTTTAAAATTCTCCAACTCCGGATGAGTTTGAGGCCTGTAATGGGTGCATAACTTAGGTATTCAAAAAGAAACGATTTCTTGCTAGTGATCCGCAATTGATCACGGATAAAGAAAAAGTCTGTTTAAATCGTATGCGCTGCCTATCAAGTAAGTAGTTCATTAAGGCATAACAACAGATATAACGATTTAAAATAGGCAATTTCAAAAATGGCCAAACAACTTTAAGTTTTCATTAATGGTTGAACGTAAAATAAAAAAATCTTTATTAATTTTTTTGTTACAAAATTACCCTTCCTAAAATGATTTTAAAATAAATATATTATTTTCTCTTTTTCATAGGAGAATCCTACCTATATTTTTGTCTACCACTAATTCAAATATTTTTTAAAATCTTTCAAATATTTTTCCAATAAATTTTCAGGAGAATTATACTAACAAATCTAAAAAATAGTATATTCATTAAACAATAAAATCATTGAAAATGATACTAAAAATCTTAAAGAATATATAATAAATGTCAATAAACAAAATGAAATTAGAAACACAAATACTACCCAAAACAATAATGTAGTTAGAAACAGAAATACTAACACCCAGGACAAATAGACAAACACAGAACAGAGGAATAAATGGAGAAAYAAATATAGTAAAGGGTGAATAAAAATGTGAACAAATAAGGTGAACATATAACGTAAAAAATAAAGTGTATTTTTGTGAACAATTATACAAAAAAATATAAAAGGCACTCTACCTACAATCTATAAAAACTCAACATATAGGCCTCTCTCTTCTCTGCTACCGACCGTCCCACTTGCAACAAGCTCTATCACCTACTGCGTTGCCCCACCTTGTTCCCTCGCCTAACAAGATCTTCTTTCTTCCTTGTTGGATTTCTGTTGTCTCCCTTTCTCCCCTGCTCTGATTGTCTCCCTCCATGATCTTCTGACGTCTMCTAGTGAGTTCTGTCTCTAAAAAAAACTAGAATGAAGGAAGGATAGAATCTAAGAAAGATGATAGAAGTTAGGATATTTGATTTTAAAAATAATAATCAAATAAAAAGGGTAGACGTGTCAAAATCAAACCTGCAAAATAGTTAGAAAAATACAAATCGACATTTTTCGTTATCAAATATCATTTAGCCATTTTTCAAAATCAGATGATAAACAGGAACATCTATCGTAAATTTTCTTTCATTAATGGGCCAGCCTAACCTCCAATAACTAGGCCCATAGCTTGACTCATTGGATTGGGCTTGAGCCAGCCTATTAGATGCATTGGGATAATTAAATTTTAATTATCTTTTATAAAAAAAAAATAAAAGATTTTAAAACAAATTTTATTAAAATAGATTAAACTGATGTTTTTTTATTTAATTTCAATTTAAGTTTCTTTTGAAAATTTGTTAACTTTATCTATAAAATTAATAATGTTATATATTTTCTTTTATTTTTCACTTTTATTTAATTTTTATAAATTTTTTAGACACTAATTTTGTTATTAATTATAAAGTATAATGTATAAAGTGTGAAATSTATTTTTTTAATCTTTAAAAAATGTATTTTTTAGAGAGAAATTTTAAAACTTTAACGGTTATATTTATATATATGATTGATCCAATTAATASTTCGWTAACCTACTTCGACTGATCARTCCAAATATGACCCAAACAAGATGTATGATCCAACCTCCAAAATATTGATCCATGTATCCAATGCAATGAGTGTTGGGATAGGTCGAACCGATCAAACATTAACTTTGGGTCGAACTTGAAATCGGGCTTAGACCAAGTTTGATCCAACGTTTGGACCTTGAACTCTTAGATGAGGTTGAAGTAGGAGCCCATCGTACAAGATCCTTGAATGAGAAATTGCAGTAAGTAGCAAAAATCTTTTATGTATTTCATTTTTTTTTATTTTCAAATATAGTACAAATTTTCACTTACATCGGTAGTATATCAGTAGTATATCAGACACTCATATCAGTAATATATCATATTTATATCACATATATATTGTACAGACACTCATATCAATAGTATATCAAATGTCTATCACATACATATATCAGTAGTAAGATATATTACARATATATTATAGATGTATATCATTTGGGTAACGTTGTCATTTTAAAATTGGACCTCGATTTTTTCTAAAAAAAAAGATGCTATATTTGAAAAAAAATAAAATAAATGTAGTTGCTATTTTGCTAATTCTACTAAATGTTTTTGCCATATTTGCAAGGATCTCAAATGGAATTTATATAACAAGAACCACACCATAATTATATCATATAAACATTATGGGTTCTATCTAAAAGTTAATTCCCARTGAGAGGAAAAGTCATATATATTATAAACTTTTGTTATATCCCTTATTTTAATATTGAATCTTTAATAGAGATATAATTAGTGAATAAAGATGAGAGTCGGTTGTGGTAGAAATGGGGATGTATTCCCATTAAGGTACAAAATGTCGACGTCGATAGAAATAYTGATTTTCCAATTTTATGGACATGTCGATATCGACGGATATTTGGGAAAAAATCACGGAAATTGTRAAAAATAATAAAAATTATTTTAATTAGTAAATAATACTTTAATTGTAGCTTACTACAATTGATCACTTCTAACCATCATATATAAAAATATGAGTAACTTACTTATGAAAATGTCAATGTCGATAGAAATRTCGGAATAAGATAATAAAGATTGATGAAAATAATTTAAATGAGTAAATTGAAATTCAATGTTGCTTAATTGTATTTTATTGATAATTAATAATTTATAATCAAATATAATTTTTTATTACGTAACTGAACAAGATATGAAATATTGATATATACACACACGTACACACGTACCTATGATGATTATATTGAATTATTAGAAATTAAATTATGAATTTGAAAATTTTATAATTAAATTTGGAAAGAAAAATTGAAAAAAAAATTCAATTTGAATAAAAATAGATTAATAGTGAAAATTGAAATAAATAAATAAATTTAAGTAATAATAATATTAGAAATAGAAATGGGAAGAGAGAGGAGAGGAGAGGGGAGGGGAGCACCCCTATAAAACCCCTTCCCTTCTTATTCTCGTTCAATCTGGCAGTGTGGGTATCGGACCAATGGGTTGTGTCTTTTTCTACCGATCCGACTTTTAGTTAAATTTTTTTYACGATAATTGTAGATATTGTCGAGATGTCGATTTTTTCAMGGCATTTCGACGATATTTTAATATATCGTCRATACATGGAAAAAAATAATTTCTCTCCATATGTYGATGTCGAACCCGTCGACATGYCGATGTGTCSACCGATATTTATAACGTGGATTCCCATCACATTTTCTAAATTTTACATCTAGGCAAACATTTTTCCATTTTTCTTATTTATTTTCACAATTGTTTTTGAAATCATAAACAATTAAACTTTTTTTTAGTTAATTATTTTCTAGTGAGCTGTACCTGACCCTTTCTAATTAATTATTTCTAAAATAAATTTTAAAAACACAAATTTGTAAAACAAGTTTTAAAAATTAATAATACTAAAATATGGAAAATTATCAAACAAATCTAAACAAATAGTGAAAAATATAACAAAAGAAAAATAAGAAAAAAAAGTTGAAAAAATAGGGTTAAATACTATTTTGATCTTATAATTTTAAATATGGTACATTTTAATTCCTGTATTTTTAAAATGTATGTTTTTGTCTTGTAATTTTAAAAACCATTTTAATCCCAATGTACAAAATTTTAACACAAGTTTATACACAATAGAAATCGTCTGATACAAATTTATAGTTATGTTAAGGATCCATGTTTAAAAGATAAATGGAACTAATAAGGGTTTATAATATAAGTGAGCTAGTTCTCTCATTATCAATTGATTYTAAGATAGAACTGCATGAATATTGATATGGTACCAAGTCCAAAAAACTCAAACGGATATCCGATCAAGAAATGGGAACCGACCAAGATCAATTAGTTAAAAGAGCCACGATCTTGAGGATCATGTTAAAAGGATCTTACAAATGCTTATAGTAGACACTTGCTAYTATTTTCTTCGCTAATTAGTTTTGAGATGRAATCGATAAGAGATATATGGACAAACATGATCACTCTTAAAAAATATAAAGATACCAACACATTTTGGAAGGTACATTAACTTAAAATTAACAAAAATAAAAATATAGAAGACCAAATCAAGATTTGGAAAATACATAAACCAAATAATATTTAAACCGAGAAAATATACGAAGTATGTAACAACCACTCAAAATGAGAAGAAAGGAAAAAGAAAAACTAAAAGTATGAGAAAATGATAAAAGGAAGGGGCAAAAGAGTAATTTGTGAAGTGTGTATAATGTTGACTTGACATCCTTTATGAGTCTCCCATCTCTGGACAATAAGCGTGCTCTTCGCCTTCCCACTCTCCACTGTTCTTCTACAGTTCCCTCTCCCTCTGCTCTGCTTTCCCTTCCATTTCCTTTGTCTCTCAAAACTTTTCAATCCCTTCTTTCCAATTCTTAGCGCCTGCCCAATTTCTTCGGATTCCGTTCGAATTCCCCTGCGAATTCTGCTTTTGATTCCACAGGTTCAATTGCTTTTGCTCCATAATTTCTTAGATTCTTTTTGTTTTGCTTGTTTGGAAGAATGGGGAGAGCCCTTTTGGAAATGGGTATTGTGCGAATTTGGAAATACCGAGATTGCGATTTTGTATTTTGTTTAATGATTTGATTCTGTATTTTCGGGTGAGGGAACTGTAATTATTTGCGTGAGATGTAGGTCTGTTTTCTCTCGATCGATTTAGGAAAAGATGTGGGATGGTCGTTCTTGATTTCTTTTCTGTTGAATGAATCAGAGATCTGTTACTGTTCCGTTCTGTGAATGTAAACATTTGATTTTATTAGTTTTTATTAATGTTCTGTATATTACTGCTGGATGATGATGGTCACTGTTGGCATTGTAGCAGTTAATTTGTTGCTTGGGAAATGAATGGGCAAAGGGAGTAAATGGTAGACAATTTTATTTTCAATTGTCTCTGTAGAACTGTGAACTTGGTTTATGATGCTTTTCTCAGAGACTGAGACTCACGTTTCATCTTATATGTTTTGTCTAAACAAAAATGAGAGAATTGCATTGATGCTCCTTCACATTCAGCTGGATTATAGCTAGCTTCTTATTTCTTCCTTTTTTTTTTGTTTGTCTTAAATTTGTATTTTAACTGGTCACCAATTTTATGGTGGAGGTTTTAACGCTGAGTCCCCGATTGGTATCTTTCTATGTCGCAGGAAAGTTATAGAAGTGACAGGAGGAAGTAGTAGAGGATAAACGGGGAACTACATAGGAGCAAGAATATGCCTTGGTCGAGTTCTACGGTCGATATGTTTCACAAAGTTGTGCGCCTGAAAATATGTTGTTGGTTTATACTATAAATCATTTCTTGTCCCATTGAACCTTTCCTTCTTCAGTTCTTATCTGCTTCATCATATCATCCATGGGATCCAATCACTTTTTTATCATTGCTTCCGATCTATATATCAGCTGAAGCCAGAATACAGTCTGACTTCTAACTCCCTTAGCTTCAGTTCTATATTCCAATTCTAGGAGTTCATAATCTATTTTCCATCTTCGTTTGCTTAACATTTTCTGAATCTCTACGTTTGTTTGCTTCCCCTGTGTTGTATTTTATGGTTAGTCTAGTGTGAAGTTCGGTGATCCTATTTGGACTTGGTCTCATTGTGTTTTCCCTTCTGTCTCACATCATATTCGTTTTTTAGCATAATAAAGGGTCAAAAGTAGTTATGGTGTGCCAAGCAGCGAGCCAAACACGATTTCGGGCTTTGAAACATGAAAATGGGATTGCAGGGAAGCCAACGATTATAGTTAAAGTGATTGCATGTTTTCAACCTCTGCAGAATTGCCAGGTATGTGCGGATTGGTTTTGATCATTTTATGGCTCTACATTTTATATTACATGGTAAATTATTATCGGTTGTAAGTATATGATCTTGCCACTATTCTTCTGCTAATTTATTTCTCAAATGTGCAATTGAAGTTTATTTGATGTCCTGGAACTATATGGTTACTTGTGCTGTGTTTCCTTTTTCAGGCTGAGTACTTCCGCCATTTGCTTAAACCCGTAACGTAGATCAATTTGTAATTCTTCCGATAAACTTAAGCAGGAGTTTTACTTTTGTTCTTTTAGTTGTTTGTTTCTGAAAGAATCAGTAATTGAACGTGGGGAATCAGAGACATATACATCTTGTGGTAGGTTTCACCAGTCTTGCTTATTTACCAAACCTGAAAGTGAAATGGTCGAGGGATTATTTTTGGTTGCTTTCTGAATATTTGATTTTTCCTTTTCATTGTCAACGTTAGGTGATTGTCTGTTGTTGGATGGTTAAGACCGGAGGTTTTTGGCCGCAGTCTGGGCATTCTGCTGGGAACCTGCCCAATTTGAATTGCATGAACGAGCTGATAAATTTCAGGCTGCGATGTCTGAACCCAGACACTTATATCTCTTCTGCACCGACGGAATTTCGGGGATCTTCTATCCCACATGCTCCAGGTTTGAATTCCGAACAGAAGAATGGGTTGCTGTATAACTYCCCATCTTATTTCGGGACCATGCGTCCCGATGCACTTCCATACCTTGTGGAGAAACACCACAATTCTTCTTTAGGACTTGCACGAATGACTTTACCTAGTTCAAATGCCGAGTTGTCAAAGAGGGAATTCATTATCTTTGATCAGTCTGGTAATCAAACAAGCGTAATGTATAGTTCTGGCTGTCCTGACGCTCGGATCCCTATCTCTATTAGTGCAAAAAACTGCAGTCATGGTTTAAATGATGAAGAAGATGAAGATGCCGGGGATATTGATTTAAAGAATTATTTGTTTCACAAAGATCCTTTGACGAATGGAATTGCTGGTGAGGAGAGCGAGATGCATGAAGACACAGAAGAAATAAACGCCTTACTTTATTCAGATGATGACAATCACTATAGCAGTGATGATGAAGTAACTAGCACTGGTCATTCTCCACCGCTGATTAAGGAACTTTATGATAAACAAACTGAGGAAATGAATGAGGAGGTTGCTAGTTGTGATGGCCCCAGAAAAAGGCAGAGATTGCTAGATGGTGGGCGCAAGAAATTGTCAGATGCCCCAGTTTCAGTGAAAGTAGATTATGCAATTCACAACTACGGAGTTGATACGAAATCAAGCTACACTGTTGGCGAAAGCCAAGGACATCAAATGGATTCCGGATTGGGAAAATTTTCGTCGAAAAAGGACAAGATCCGAGAGACTTTGAGGCTTCTTGAAACCATGGTTCCTGGTGCAGAGGGAAAACACCCAATGTTGGTCATTGATGAGGCTATAGACTACTTGAAGTCTCTAAAGTTTAAAGCAAAAGCTATGGGGCTGGCTACCACGCTCCCTCACTGTGATGTCGGTCAAGGATGTCAGGGCGGGAGAAAAAAGTGGTGACCAAAGATTTCTTTGCCAGAATGATTACTGAATTTGAAAAATCAATATGGTAGCGTTTGCTTGCCTTTATGGGACCCCAAGGACACCAAGAGGGATTGTACATAATGGGCTACTAAAGGAATTTAAGTAAATATGCAGATACTGCACTTTGCTTGTTGCCATTGAAGACAAAATGGGTAATGTTGACCAGAAATGATTATCTATTGGCTTTTGGGGCACTAAAGATTAAAGGAATCACTTAGATTTGACTACATAGGAGGTGACAGTGGGAGGTATTTTCTGTATTTTTGAGGGACCCCTCTTTTGCTTGAAATTGTTGAGAAACCCCATGAATTTAGTGCATGCGCATTTGGTTACGCAGGCCCCACCCTCCACTCCCCCCCTTCTCCAATATTGTGCTTCCCATCTCTTTACCTTTTATAGATAGAAAAAGAGAAAAAGGAAGAAAATTTGCAGATAATGCAAGGAATTGTGAGAGTGTAGTGTAGCATTGTGTTTCATGATGGATATGGTGGGAGCTGAGCTGGAGTTGCCCTTTAATCAATGATGTCGTAAAGGTAAGCTTGTTTTTTTCTTGCAAAGTGGGAAGTGATTGCTTTTTTGTACAGAAAGTTGTGAAAGGTGGTGCTGCTGCTCGTGAGGTATTTCACTGAAGTTGGCTTTGGATTTGCTGTTTCTAATGCTCTGTCTGTTCTGTGAGTTTGTCAGTTTGAGTTTGAAGATGATGAATAATTGGTGGATGAATGTGTTTTGTCATTATTGTTTTGTATTCTCCACCATTTTTAGCTGTTCTTTTCTTCCCTTCTGAGTGTTCTTTGCATTTTGTTTAAATCTGTCTGGTTTGCCTGTATCCCCACATCTCTGTAACAATGAAGTTTGAATTCTTATAAATTTTAAGCAGAGTTTCTTGTGGGTTGGATGTGCTGTTGGGTGAAAAATTAGCTTGTGATTAATTGTGGATACCGTAGCTGAAAAATTAGGCAGGATTTTTCTGGATTAATTGCGCTCTTCACTTTAACTGATTAAAATATATATCATTGACCAAAAAATTGAAAGTTTGAAACTCATCCCATACATCGTTGAATCAAAAAAGTAAAGAAATGTTTGGATTAAAAGATGAAAAACAAGAAGAAAATATCTAATATTTTCCTCTTTTAACATTGGTTCGTGGGACTAGTCAATGTGCATGTAAGGAGGTTTTTGATATTGATAGTGGTATGGGTGATCTACGGATCATCACTCGGACAAAGTTATATCACTGATGTCTGCAGTGTTCCAAGGCTACATATGATTTAGATGCCATGAAATTCTAATACCTCAACATGAATTGTGTAGATGCTAKGGTCATGTCTTTACTTATGTGCATACAATTAAACTATTTTTCAGTATTATGCAATAGCATGTTTTTGTCTTTATTTCGTCAAATAACGTAGCACAGCATGTTTCAGTCTCTATTTGATACTTGATCGCACCATCCTTGAAATTATGCAACAAATCCTTAAGCATAAAGGACATTGCTATCTGTATTGATAATAGGGACTAGGTACACAGATGAAAAGCTTATTCGAATTGCTTTCTCCTCTCGTGACTATTGTTAGAGTCGCTTTGACAAATGCCACATTGTTGTACTTCAAGCCTCTCCTGTCCCTATTTTTCTCAAACAAATTGTTTTGACACAATAATAGATTTTATCATATACTATAGTTATAAAAAAAAGGAAAATGCAAATGTTTTCCTTATTCTTGTTAAGATGAAGAGTTATTGGTTAATGAATTATTGCTAAAAACGAATTATTTAGACTTAGAAAGGGAAACACAAACGTTTTCCTTGATTTAATGAATTATTGCAAAAAAAAAAAAGAAAGAAAGAAAGAAAGAAAGAAAAAGAATTATAAGGAAAAGATTATTCTCTTTCCGATATGGGGCAATATCTTTACTTTTGAAGTTTTGTGGTTGGAAATGAAAATTACTTTATGAAGAAAAAAGTACAGAAATTGTGAGCAACTTTTGAGATAGGGCCAACAAGCTTGTGATATTCACTTCCATATTCACATTGAAAATATCTTGTTACATTTATTTAATATTCTTGAATTAGGGGTAATTGACAAAAAAATCCTAATTATAAAGGAGTTGTAGACTTTTGACTCGCTCATTGACAAAATAAGAATGTTAGGTTTGTTCTTATATGAATGTATTGTTGAGATAATTGAGTGAAAATAGGAAATCTGTATCCTGAGGAAAATGATTTTCAACACTACTGTAAATTTCTACGAGTAGGATATTGCTTTCTTATAAAGAATAGGATATTGACTTCTTATAAATATAATCCTTTTGTTTTATTTGTACATAATTCARACAAAAAAGACTTGAGTGGCTATGGGCAATTGTGGGCAGTGTGTGAAAAGGAGTCGGTATGTCGTGGGTTTGGTGAGGATGTTATCAATTGTGTAATCCTAGGTAGCCGTTGTTAGGCTAGAAGAAGATATCATTGTAGTTCATATCTTGAGTGAGATCTTCATTGTAATATTTTCAACTATAGTAGAATCTGCTTTCTCAAAGATGGAAGGTAATCCCTRYAGTGTTAAGCTTTTCTATTCATACTTATTCATTTGTTATTGACGATATGATTTTTAACCTATGGAATGAAAGAATTGAATAGGTCTTTCTCAATTTTGGGAGAAAAATAATTATTTCTCTTATTGAATAATAAAACCCTAAGTCACCAATAAGACCCTAAGTCACCTTAAGTAGAGGTGAGAAACAAATTTAAATAAGGAATGTATCAGAATCATCTACCAATTACAAATAATAAAAGAAAAACAATTAATAAATATTTACAATAATTATTTACTAAAAACACCATAAAACCAATACTTCCCCTCAAACTAGTTTAAAGATATCTTCCATTGCCAGCTTGTCAATCAATTTATCAAATTGCATTTTTGGGAAGTCTTTAGTCAGCACATTAGCAATTTGCTCTATTGTCGGTAGGTAAGAAGTACATATGACCCCTGCGGTGATCTTCTCCTTAATGAAGTGTTTGTCAACCTCAAAAYATGTATTGTCCTATCACGTAGGATTGAATAGTGAGCTATAGAAATGACGGTCTTGTTGTCATAATAAACACAAGAATACATGCCTTCTGAGAAACTTCAATTTTTCTAGTAGCCTTTTTAACCATATACCCTCATAGATACCATGAGCTAACGCCCTAAACTCTACTTCAGCCCTACTTCTTGCCACTACATTTTGTTTTTTTCTACGTTAAGTAACTAAGTTACCTCAAACAAAGGAACAGTAACTAGATGTGGATCGTCTGTCAACAATACTACCATCTCAATCGGTATCAGTATAAACTTCGACCTACAAATGGYCATGCTTCCTTTATAGTATACCTTTGCCTAGAGTTCCTTTTAGATATCTTAAAATCCTATAAACAACTTTAAAATGAGCTGTACTAGGAGCATGCATGAATTGCTTACCACACTTACTTCAAAGAAAATATCAAAACAAGTGTGAGACAGATAAATGAGTCTACCATAAGTCTTTGATATTTCTCCTTATCTCTAACTTCTTCATCTTTCGTAGCTTGGAACTTCAAATTCAATTCCACAGGAGTTTCAGTAACTCTACACCCAAGTAAAAATGTCTATTTAAGTAAGTCAATAATGTATTTCCTTTGATTAACAAAGATTGTATTTTTTGATCTAGTAAATTCCATCCTTTGAAATATTTCAAGGTTCCCAAATCTTTAATTTGAAATTCACTAGCAAGTGATCTTTTCTTCAGAAAGGCCAATCCGTCTACATCATTGTCTGTGAGGATAATATCATCAACATATACAATCAAAACAACCATTTTGTCATTTCCACTATGCTTATAAAAAATTGTGTGATCTACTTTGCTTTGGAGGAATTCGTAGCTAGTGACTGCTTTCTCAAAATGTTCAAACCATGCTCTAAGAGACTGTTTTAGACCATAGAGAGATTTCTTTAATTTGCACACACTTTATTATTTTCAATATCCATTTCAAAACCAGGGGTAAATTCATACCTCTTCTTCAAGATCTCTGTTGAGAAAGACATTTTTGACATCCAATTGGTGAAGCGGCYAATCTAAGCTAACAACAATAGATAAAAGAACTCTGATAGAGTTAATCTTTAGCAATGGGGGCAAATATTTCTTGATATTCGATCCCATAAGTTTGAGTAAAGCCTTTATCTACCCACCTTGCTTTGTATCTCTCAATGCTACCACATTGCATTTTATAGTGAAAACCCATTTGCATCTTAAAGTTTTCTTCTCTCTTGGTAAATCTACAATGTCTCATGTGCAATTTTTGTTTTAGAGCATTCATCTTCTCCATAACTGCTAATTTTGTAATTTGAATTATTTATAGCCTCCTTAATATTCATTGGAATAACCATGTTATTAATCCTAGAAGTGAAAGCTTTATGACTATTTGAAAGGTTTTTATATGAAAGGTAATTAGCAATATATAGGATATTTAGTGCACCTATGAATACCTTTCTTAAGAGCTATGAGAACATCAAGATTAGACACATTAGGTAAGATGTTTTGAATGGGAGAAGAAGCAAGAATAGGAGATTCGTTACGAGAACTTTCAGTATCATTCCTCAGAGTATTAGACTAGTTTGGTGACAAGTCAACTCTCTGATCTTCATTCCTTTGATTTGGTCGCCTTTTAGTTTAAACCTAAAGCAAGATTTTGATCACTACRGTCATTTTGTAGTATTCTCCCCCTGAATAAGAATTTTCTACACTTGACATTGAGGAACTAGAAACATCGAGAATAAATGATATTAGGAATAAGGGTAGAGATATCCCAAAAATTACCTTCATAACTGGATTCCTCCCCTAAAGTAAATTTTGGGTAAAAAGGGTTGATTTTTTTACTGAAAGATAAAAGATTACATGCTAGTTTAGGAACATGAGGAACATATTTTAAGGTAATAGCTTCTGTTAATCGAATAGTTTCTTTTTCCTGCAATAGAAGGGAAACTGCCATCTGTTATTCGAATTTTTTTATTACAATAAGTAGGAGAGTAAGATTGAAAGAGTTGAGAGGAACTAGCATATGATCGGAAAGGATCGATAATCGACAAGACATGATAAATCATGAGGATAGTACCTAATTGTGCCAAGGAAACACTAGGATTACCAGATGATGAATTAGTATTTAGCAGCTTGAGGAGTTGATCAACTTACTCTTTATTGAACTGGTAAGAATCAATAGTATTTGCAACTGAAGACAACTAGTTGCCACCACTCCTCTCACTCATTTTATTACTCTTCCAGTTAGCTGGTTTTCTATGAAGCTTCCAACAAGTTTCATAGATTGTCGAGATTTATTACAATAGTCACACGATACGGGAAATTTCTCATTTCCCTTATTTTGATATGATTTGATGCTTTATTCGCAAATACTTTAGTCACCGATGCAGAATCTTCAATAGTGTTGCTTGTACTTTTCTTACCGAGCATAACATTCTGACGACTTTCTTCACGGCGAACTTTAGAAAAGACTTCACTAACGGTACGTTGGAAGTGACTGCTTACCAGTAATATTGCCTTTGACCTCATCAAATTTCACATTCAAGCCAACAAGAAATTTATAAATTCGACATTTTTCTACGATTTTCAAATAAAGTTTAGAGTCATCCGAKCATTTCCACTCATGAGTATCAAATGAAACTAAATCTTGCCAAATTCTTTTCTTAAAATTAAAATACTTGGTAACTGTATATGTTCCTGGTCGAATTTCGCTCAACTATAGAGTCAGTTCAAAAACCTGAGACTGATTCCCCAGATCATAATATATCTCTTTCACATTGTCTCATAATTCCTTTGTAGTGGAATAACACATGTAATTGGCACCGATCTCCTCATCCGTGGAATT